CCTAGGGCATCGAGATCACAAATTGTAAATTGACCAAAATCGAAGATGAACGGCGGCGACCATCTTGAATTCCAAGAAATGCTCAACGATGCATAGGTAGCAACCAAGCTAAATCAGCTCTCCTAACTATATAGAACACATTTCCATGAAAAAAGTTTAGAGTAATTAACATTGCAGGGTCCCATATAGGACATATAGGGCCGGCAAACCGACTACTGCAAGCAATTAGACACGAGTCACACGACCAGCATGAGAGTGCTCGAGAGTGTTGCCCGTGCATTTTCTCTCTTAAACTCTCTGACTCACTGTCGTTCTCTCTGTGTGTCTCTCTCTCCCTCCCCTCTCTCTCTCTCTATATATATATATATATTTAGTTTATTAACTCCTGATATAATATATATATATATCAAAAGTCCATAATAGAAGTCCATATATGCGTACGTGCGTGCGTGCATGCATGCGTGCGTGCGTGAATGCGTGCGTGCGTGTGTGCGTCTTCAGTAGTGAATCCGATCGTCTGCCAGTTACATATCTTCAGCTAAACATAGACCCACCTCAACACCAAGAACACGGTTACAGTCACAAAAAAACATTGAACACGGGCATGCGCGCAATAAGTATGCAGCAATAAATATAAATGCCATTCCATTCGTTGTACGAACAACATACACATTCTAAAATTCGCGCAGTTATTTCGCTGGTGGCCATGCGTCTTCTCGAGCCGTGTTCCCTCGCCGCCGTGCCGTAAAACACTGCACGCGGCGTCTCATTTGGCCTGCAGATGTAAAGAAATGCGCAGCCTTGGCACGCGCGTGCGTCGCTGTTGCGATGCGAAATTAGCTCCGACAACATCAAAAAATGCAACGTACGTGTCTCGTCCGGCGAAGCCACGAGCCGCGAGTACCGCTGACGGGACGCTATACGTCACGTGACAGGAAGCCGCGCGTCACGTGACAGGTGTGCAACGTCTAACGGCGGCAAAAAAATTACAGGTAGAGAATTTTTAACGCTGACGAAGTTTGCGTTACGTAGACAGACGGAAGATCTTTATCATTTACGAAGGCTGCCGGGACAAGCTGCTTACTTCTACCGGCATGCACACTGCGGTTGACTAATTGCCTAAATGCGCTCAGCTAGCATGCGGTCACATTTCGGCTTATGCTGACCGGATAGCATGTGGTAAATATCCGGTGTTTAGACAAGCAGTCTTAGAGCACACCGTCAGCTGCTAACAGTCCGGGCGTAGTTCGCCCGCGCACGCACGGGTTACTGCCCTAGACACTCGCGCGATGACGTCACACACTTATATGCCTAATTTATAGCGCTGGTAATTCTGGGAGCGATTGGGTTGAGATGAAGCGGCTACCATCTTTGTCTGTTTATGGTCGATAACGTAAGATGATATTGACTAACTGCATCTTGGGCGTACATGAAGTTTAATCGATGTTGTGATTTATTGTAGACGTTATTACAGGGGGCATCTATTTCCTGCACTATAGTTTATTTGTTATTCCACCCCTGTCGTAACGGTGCGTAAGATAATACGGTGATGTGAATTTGATGATATCGATGACGATGTCGTCGACGCAATACACTCTTCCGGTAAGCGTCGCATTTGATCAGAATGGAGCTAATTTAACGATTTCGCGCAATAAAGTTTTGATTCGATACAGTGCGATGCAAGTGAATCAATACCACTAGTCTATACTAATGTAACGCATCTAGACGGCGCGGTGACGTTGCGTCTGCTAGCAGACAGACGTGTTGTGTTGTTGCCGATTGTGTATATACTCCCGTGCTTACGCCCCCTGCTACGCCGTATCCTACACAGACCTATAGGCACACCGGGAACACTAATCCTAGACACGGTGGCTTAGGGTACAGACGCCACACCCTTGAATACGCGGAGCTCATGCATGCATGCATGCTGCACCGATGACGTAACCGGTGCTGTAGCGAACAGGTTATGATCGAATCGCCGCGAGTCATACTGCTGCACATAAATTTGGCTAGACTCCCGCTGCGTTCTATTCTTAAGTATGAAGTTAGGTATTCATTCTTTCGAGCATAGCGTTACGACGTGTTCGTGTGCGCGTGCGTCTGCGCGTGTGCGTGCCCATGTGTGTACGTGCGTGTGCTTGTGCGTCGACGCGTGTAAGTGCCTGTACGTGCGCGCGTGTCATGATTGTGCGTGTGTTTAATTGTGCTTGGGTGTGGATGTGCACATACAAACTTGATGTGTTGTTGGTGAACCTAAAGCTAAAGCTAAAAGACTAGCCTGGGTTGAATTTAGCCGCAATATTATTGGACCATCCCTGGTAATATATGCCACGCGCGTCCGTTAGAACATGTTCTAATGTGAGTGGTTTTCTAATTACACTCTCCCTTTCTGCTGTACCCTATTTGCACCGATTCCTCAGTACGAAGTATACTCAGTACGACTCCATTGTCCATGTCTTCTTAACGGATCAAGAATAAATAAAAACGAGATTCACCGCGTCCGTATGATAGGCACGTACATAACTTAGTAATCGACAGGCACTAGCGATTCAGGCGCTTGCTTGCCCTTGTTGCTCATCGTATCGAACGACAGGTGCTCATCGTAAAGAACGATCTCAAAGTCACGGCAGAGCCATTGTCAGAACAAGCGTACTTGACGAATATTTTGCGATGTTATATAGATTCATCACAGAATGATGTTGATTGCAATGTTCTACGTGTTTCATTATTCCGCATACCGTTACCTGGGCCCTGCTCCCCTCCACAGAGCTGAGACACATTTACACTACACTATTATAGTAGTAAATATAATTTAAATCATAATATTAATAATAATAGTAATAGTATATTAAAAGTATCATAATATATAGTAGTAGATATTATAAAGTATTATATAATAGTATATGGTATACTACTAATTAGAGTTTCTAGCAGGGAGCACATGTAGCGTGAAACTCAGACCTTCTGTAGAGCAATCACATCGTTTCTCGCAGCGGCAGTTCTCGCGATCAGTGCTAATAGCGCAAAACTCCAGCAATCGAGTGAAAACTGCCCCACCTCCTCAAACAGACAGCGTTGACCTCGTTGTAGCGAGCCGGATTCTAAATGTGAGCAGACGTACCATCGCATGCGTCGATCTCTCGGCCGTGCGCCGCTCACGTCGCTCCATTCACGTCTTGTTTCATCCGCTCCGTGCGCGTGTGTCTTCGCCTGCTCTGCCTGCTCCGCAGTTCATTCAACTATCTGCGTGTGTCTCCGCCGCCGCGGCGTGATCGCAGATGGGCGCTGCTGCTTCCCGTTCAACCCCGGAAGGATGCTGCTGCTGCTGCTGCTGCTGCTGGTGGTGGTGGTGGTGCTGCTGGTGGTGGTGCTGCTGCTGTTGCTGCTCGTGGTGGTGGTGGTGGTAGTGGTGTTGCTCTGCTGCTGCTGCTGCTGCTGCTGCTGATGCTGATGCTGATGCTGATGCTGATGCTGATGCTGATGCAACTGTTGCTGCTGCTGAAACTGCTGATGCTGCCGCCTGTGCTGCCGCTACCGCTGCTGGCGACGCTTCGTCATCGTGTGTGGCATCGGCTGCCCGTACGCGGATCGGCGAAGGAGAAGGACAGCGCGCGGGTAGAGTTGCAGTGGTCGCCACCTGCCGTCCGCTGACGGTCATCGGTCAAACACTCCCCGCTGTGATGCGATCACGAAACGACAACGGCGTCTATTTACAACTGAGAAAGCGTCGTGACATCCCGTAGCGCGGGCATTGTGTGTGTGCGTGGGTGTGTGTGTGTGTGTGTGTGTGTGTGTGTGTGTGTGTGTGTGTGTGTGTGTGTGTGTGTGTGGTGTGTGTGTGTGTGTGTGTATGTGTGTGTGTGGTGGTGTGTGTGTGTGCGTTGTGTGTGTGTGTGTGTGTGTGTGTGTGTGTGTGTGTGTTGTGGCTGTGTGTATGTGGGGGCGTGCGTGTATGTGTGTGTGTGTGTGTGTGTGTGTGTGTGTGTGCTGTGTGTGTGTGTGTGTGTGTTGTTATGGTGATGTGTGCTGTTGTGTGTTGTGTGTGTTGTGGGTGTGTGTGTGGTGTGTGGGTGGTTGTGTGTGTGTGTGGTGGTGCGTGCGTGCGTGGTGCGCGCGCGCGCGCGCGCGTGTCGTTGGTGTGTGTGTGTGTGTGTGTGTGTGTGTGTGTGTGTGTGTGTTGTGTGTTTGTATGTATGCGTGCATGCGTGCGTGCGTGAGCGGGCGCGTGTGCTAAAAAATCAGCAAAGCGGAAGGACACCAATTTTCGGCGTCTGGCGCAACCCCCTAACATATTAGTACAACGAAAACCACACACGAATAATCTGCCCCGGTTCCCACCGTACCCCGTCTGTTTGCGCGAATGCTAGACCGTCGTCCTGACGTTAGTTATGGGCCTCTTAACTAAGAATTGATTTGCTACATGATTAATCTCGGACCCACGATGTAGGTGGCGCCATAGTGTCAACCGTCACGTGCGTGTGGGGTTGATGGCCTGGTGGAGGCCTCAACCTGACAGTTAGCACTGTTGCCGGAATGCAACACAAAGGGTATCTGATTTCACGTATCAGGAGGTGTCGGCTGTGTTGCGTGAGGTGGGTGGAAAATATTGAGTGTGAGCCAGTGGTGTAATGGGGGGTGAGGGTGTGTTCGCAATGAAAAAAATACAACCAACTATGCTCGTTACAAACCACCCCACCCATATTCTCCCGCCCACAACCAAATCACCATTGTACACGCACACCAACAAAAACAACGACTTATTTTAAAACCCTAATAAAAAAACACGTGATACATATTCCGGAGCTAATAATGCATTTTAAATAATAACTAGCCATACCGTCCATACCCCGTAAGGGGTCAAAACTAAAAATAAATAAAATAAAAAAGATAAAAAAATTTAACAGAATAAGATCCGACTAGTGGCGTCCGTAGTCTTCGTGTTGTTGTGACGTCCATGCAAAAAGCCCCACTATTTAGAAAGAAAGGAAAAAAATGACACGAACAAAAATAGCCCCATGCAAAAGTGGCCCAAAATGGGCCACTGCAGATAAAATGTAGATCACCCAGTGATAATATCAAGAGTGGAGTGTTATGATGTGTGAAAAATAAAGGCAACCCGCCATGCGCTTATCACCGCCGAAAGTAAATGTTTTGAAAATTTAGACCCTGGAAATGGCATTTTCTCTTTTTCAGGCTATTTGGAAAAAAGCAACCAGCATGTCGATATTTAAAATGTCAATTGAAATTTCAAAAAGAAGCAATGTAGATAAAGCTGATGTTTCTTGGACTAAAGTATCTAAAATATATATTATATATGGATAACAAATAAACACTGATTAAAAGTATATATAAGTAATAAGTTAAAAATAAATTACGTTTTTAATTAATCCGTTCCGGTGGCATCGTACTCAGATAAGTGAAGGCCGGCATGAAGGCAATGCATGCGAACGGTGGTGTGTTGTGTGTGTTTGTGTGTGTGTGTGGTGTGTGTGTGTGTGTGTGTGTGTGTGTGTGTCGTGTGTGACGTGTGTGGTGTGTGATTGTTGTGCTGTGTGTGTGTGGTGTGTTCTGTGTGTGTGTGTGTTAATGTTGTGGTGTGTGTGTGTGTGTGTGCGTGTGCGTGCGTTCATCTCTCTCCGGGTCATGTTTTTCTCTCCTCTACATAATACAACAATTATTGGTTCAAGTGCTACAGCATAGATTTTAAAGCAAATCACTGTTTCCCCCGCGTACACAGTTCCGGAGACCACCTCTTTTAAACGTGTCCGGTTTCATAGCATTGAATTTCAACGAAATCCTAGTTCTGAAGACCCCCATTTTCGAACATAGCCAGTTCCAGAGAATACCACATTCAACAAACATTAGTTCCAGAGACCCCCCTTTTCATGTCTGAGTTAGTTCCAGAGCCTCCCATTTTTTACTTCGCAGTGGCACATACCTACCATAATGTGGGGCTATACTACCATTTATCTCCTTGGTATATGTTGCTCCTTGGTTCCCTGCACAATTGTTTTGGTCAAAATAGTGCCACGGCAGTGCCGTGCTGCCGTGGCGGCCACTACGGCCCTGCCATGCAACGTGTCATGATCTGTAGAATGTTCCGACCAAGTTTGGAGAGGATCCGTTGAGCGGTGCGGAGACGGTGTTTAAAACTAAAAATAATATAAATAGAAAAAAAAATATGAGCACATATAAGATCCGATAGGTGGCGTCGTGTTTTTGTGTTGTTGTGACGTTGCCATGCAAAAATTTCCCACTATTTTAATGTTTTTGAATGTGGAATGTGAAAAAAATGAAACTGAAAAAAAAATTCCCCATGCAACGTGTCATGATCTGTAGAATGTTCCGACCAAGTTTGGAGAGGATCCGTTGAGCGGTGCGGAAACGTATAGCCGGACACACTCACACACACACACAGAAATTCCCCAATTTATAGTAAGATGACATTGACATGACATGACATTGACATAATGACATGACATGGCAAGACATGACATGACATGACATGACATGACATGACATGACATGACATGACATGACATGACATTGACATGATAATGACAACTCCTGATATTTTCTACCAACAGGTGCGTGCGCCACCGAACCACAATTCATCCCACACTAGTTTGCTAAACCATACTAGTATAGTTGGTCAGCGAACGATACAAGTAGTTTGCAGAAACATGGTTTTCCGCGCGCAGTGTGCAACCTTTGACCTACGTACGTGGAGCGATAATTACGTAGCCTCGGGTGCATAAGGCGGCCGCCGATTCCGAACCCCCCAACGGCCACCGCTCCTATTGCGCACGATGGCGCATTGTAAACAGCCGTCTACTCTCTGTCTGCATCTCTGTCTCTCGATCTCCCCCCTCTCTCTATATATATATATATCTGCCTCTCTCTCTCTCTCCCTCTCCCTCTCGCCCTTTCTCTTGCTAGCTATCTCTTTCTTACTTATGTTCTATTCATCTCTCTCCCTCTCTCCCCTCCCTCTTTCTTTCTCTCTCTCTCTGAATAACTTCCTCCTTAAATGGCGTTACTGCGAGTTCTCATACTATATAAAGGCTCTTTATCACGGAGTCAGTACGTGGATTTTTCTACTCGCCAAATTTCTTATGAGTTCAGTTCGTGTGCACTATAAAATCCAGCCATCGCTCATGATTGCATTATCGCACCTGTCATTTCACGTTGACTCACCCGATGAACTCTTGTCTACCTGCGATCCCGCGACCCCGGCTTGGTCACGTAGCCCCAACTGCTGACTATTCTTATCAAACATCTTCTGCATTTACGACTAAAAAATCAGCTGCAATGATCTGCTTATAGAGTGTGCTTATATGCGCGCGTCCCCTATGCTTTCTTTAAACGCATGTGCGCGTGCGTGTACCCGCGGCGGGTGTTGGAGTTTGTATTTGCGCGCGTGCGTGCGTGCGTGCGTGCGTGCGTGCATGCCTGCATGCGTGCCTACATGCGTTCGGGCATGCGTGAATGTGCCAGCGTGCGCGGGTAGGTGCAACTGTGCGTGCGTGCGTGCCTGCGTGCCTGCCTGCAAGCGTGCCGACATGCGTTCGGGCATACGTGAATGTGCGTGCGTGCGCGCGGAAGTGCAAGTGAGCGTGCGTGCGTGCGTGCGTGTGTGCGTGCGTGGATGGCGTGACAACGTATACGCTGTCATTTCACTAAGTGGCGAGATAGATAAGAGATGTTTCGCAAAAAGAAATGCGAAATTTATAATCCTACGTGTATAGAAACACGTTTCCGCGGCGTGGCACGCTTGCAAATAATAATTATTCTTTTCGTCTCGCTCAAAAAAAAGGAAAAGCAAAGCGACATTTGAACATTGTTTGTTTTACAACTCTTGCGTTTATACGTTCCACTTTGAACTTAAGAACCCCCGTTATCACATCATGCTACTCGTATGTGTACAAGCGCGCCCATTTTGTGGTATTTTGCTGCGTCAGGCTGAAATCTTACCATAGAGCAAAGCCAATCCGTAATCTGAAGTTGATAACGTACACAGTACACAGAGTTATGATAACAGCATTCACTTACCTATATATAGTTTATTTTTATTTTTTTATAATGCTTTATTTTCAGAACGATGACTATATACAGTACATACATACAGAGAAGAGTTGGTATCTATTACATGGTATTCTATCCTATATATCATTCTCGATTACTGTATATTACAAAGATATACGTGTGCATATGGGTTCAACAGTAGTACAGGGTAGCGAATTTTCCCTTACAGAGAATTATAAACAGCTGACCATTTACCATAGAATTTTTCCAGATTATTATTAATATTTGCTATGTACTTTTCTGTGTTCATAATACTTTTTATATGTGCCCTGGCTGCAGCCATGGTTGGATTT